CTTGGTCTTTTGTGCATGCTTGCATTTCAAATTGTTCTCTTTTTCTCCTGGAAACATTCAGACACAGTTATTTTCTGTTCTATATCTGATCATTCCAATTCCTGAAAAAAATCTCAGGAGTTTAAATCTGCTTTCTGCTTTGTTTTCCTTTTAGTATCTCTGACTGATGATAGCTGAATTTTCTGCAAGTGGTTATTATCTTTATCACTGTGGTGTCATTCACACACACACACACACACACACACATACACACAGTGGAAAAGCTAGTAACATGTGGTCCTTTTCCAAATCTGGGTTCATGCAAGACTTTTGGGGATCCACCTTTATTAATTTTGGCTTCTTACTAGCTGGCTCAAAGCTGGTGCACATGTATGATGTGCACTGATACCAGTATTTGTAATCACAGTAATTTTAGTCTTGCTTGTTTGCTCCTTGTTCAGCCTCCCCGCTCCCAACTATGATTTCAGTTCAAGGCTTGTTTGGGGTTTTCAATGTGATATTTGGATGGATACAAATGTCCCTTTCTAGCTTCAACCATGGCAGAAGCCTAGATTTACCTAAGAGCTTGGGGTTACACAGCACATGGCCCTTTCCAACAGGCCGTCAAATTAAAGTATAAAATAACTGACTTTTGTGTCATAAGATCTCAGTATCTGCATCCAGGGCCATATACAACTGTATATGGTAGCTCTCTGTTCATATGTGGAAAACCTCATCTAAAAATGATGCCATGAAGATACAATACAGGAAGATAACCATATTTGATTTTTGCCCCAGGACTTGAGACAATAGCTCCCAAAAACCTTGCTAGCTAGGAGAATCTTATATTTTTGTATTTGATCTTTGACCCTGGTTCCTTACCTGGCTCCTAAGACTTTTACAATTTCCTCAATCATAGGACAGCCCAAGACACAGCTTCTGAATGTCTTGGAATTTCCTGGTGATAGGAGGATCCTTTGTTCTGACACATGACAATCCTCCTTAGCTGCTGGATAGCTGAAGATAGATAGGAGTGGGCTGCCAGCCACGTGAAGGATGGTTGAACTTTCAATCCAAGCCCCTCCCCTGGCCTCTAAAGGAGGAGAAGAGGAGCTGTGAGTCAATTCCCAATGGCCAGTAAGGGAATCAAGCATGCCTATGTCATAAAGACTTCCAGAATGCTGAGCACATGTAGGTACCTGGAGGGTAGCATATCCAGAGCAGGCATGGATACTCCATGTGAACTACAGATCTCCCCCCATGTATCTCTCCCATCTGGCGGCCCTGTGAATTCTTTACAATGAACCAGCCATGATAAGGAAGTTTTCCCCACTCTCTGTGAGCTACTGCATTAAATTAACCAAACCCGAAGTGGAGGTGGGGTAGGGGAGGGTCACGGAAAGCTCCGTTCATAGCCAGTGTGAGCTACTGTTCACAACCTGTCCATCGGCATCTGAAGGGAGAATGGGCAGACTGGTGCACCAGCTTGTAGAAGGTTCTGGTGTGACAGCCCTGTTATTGCCTCTACTAATTCAATCAGAAATGAAAACAGTCCTCATAGTCAATGCAAAACCTATGAAGCTGGGGAGATGTGAGGAGAGAGGAGAGGTTAGGAAGGAAGGGGGAGAAGGATGAAAGGAGTGACAATGTTCAGGATGCATTGTACTCATATAACTGATCTGTTGAGTGGTCACCCCCTGAGGAACTAAGGATAATAAAAATGTAATTAAAAAGTAAAAAAAAAAAAAAAAAAAGCAATAACCAACAAAAACTAAATAAAATGGAGAGCAAATGTTTGGCCGGCATTTATACACTGATATTGAATGACACAGACTGTTAACAGCAAAGGTATCACGCAAATCCCACCAAGATTTTTTATATCTTAGATGTCACAGAGAAGGGCACTGGAGAAACATATACCTGGGACCACTGCATTTTAAGGAAATATTTAGATTTGCTGTTTCCTGTGCATTTATTTCAATTGAGGAAAAAATAGCACTGAAATAAAAATTAATTACTTTGGGTGGTTCTTTTGGCAGAAGCAAAGATCACTGAGAGTAAAATCTTTTTTTCTACTCAAATTGGTCCTGCCAGCTCCAGAGAGAGAAGTGGGGATAGTATGATGAACTGGCCCAGGCGTTGTATCTGAGCTCATCAACCCCACGCACCCAAGCTGACATTTTTACATAAAATGACTTCACGCGCTGGTTACAAATTGGTCTTGAGCAGCTAAACTCTTTGTAGTTGTATTCACTGAGGGCTGGGATTCTATCATTAGATCTGTCTTTGCCTTGAAACCTGGAGGAAATAATGTCGTCAGTGGTCCTATTGTTTCAAAATACTAGAAAAAGACTCATTTATCCAGCAACAAGTACCACTTATGTGGACCAGGCAGAGTTTCCTTTTCCTTCAAGGCAATGATGGTAACATTTCCTATCCCTCTTGCTCCTGAAAGTCTGGTGCTCTACCACCTGCATAAGTCTCAGTTTCCAACTTTTCCTGCCTAGGCTGGCTCTGAAATGCGACCCTCAGCTCTCAGCCTCTTCAGTATCTAAGATGACAGGCATGAGCCACCAGCTGCCCAGCTGGGCACCTAAAAGTTTGTAAGACATAATTTAAATTGTACTTTTAAGAAGGTGGTAGTACTTTACTATAGCTAAAATAACCATGAGATGGCACCTTGGGCAGTTCAGGAAAGTACTAAGACACCTCAATAACAGCTAATATAAATTTTCCCCAAAACAGGTCACTTAAATGAAATAAAATACAAGTTGCTTTTACATTGTATGGTCTTGTGTGTGTGTGAAAATAAGAAAATATGGAGTTTGTGTTTTGCCCACATGTATATTGGGAAGACAAAGGGGAGACTGGCACATAACAGAGAAAAAGGGCAATCAGGGATTTGAGATCACCAGGGGACAGCAGAATATTTACTTCACTAGTTTGTACGTGTGGCTCTTTCCTTGCATGAGTATTTTTAAATAAGTTAAAAATTACCATTTCATAAAAAATCCCCTCCTTCCAATCTAACAGTTATCAGAGTCCTATAGAGGGCTCCACAATCCAGTGTGGCAACATTAGATTCTACGTTTAGTCCTTTTATCCATTTCCTTAAATTACAAAGGTAATGTTCTCTGGTGCCATGAACGCTTCCATCTTCCAGAATCTTCCTGAATATCCAGTCTGCACAGACCAACGGAGAAGCCACAGGCCCCTCACCGCCATCCCCGCTTCTCCATTGCTCCTTCTTCCCATGACCAAGTTCACATCTGGAAACAAATTCCCCAATGTGGGCCTTGCTGAAAGGTGAAAACGTGGGGAGGTTGAATGGGTCACAGAACTCAGCCCTCAGGAGCATGCTAATCCACTCTCTGTTTTGTTAGAAAAACAGCTCTAGGGATCTTGGTTCAAAGCCAGCCTGGGCCGGAAGGTCTGTGAGACTCTTATCTCCAATTAACCACCCTCCCCCCAAAAATTGGAAATGGAGCTATGGCTCAAGTGGCTGAGTGCTAGCCTTGAGAAAAAAAAAATGCTCAGAGACAGTATCTAGGCCCTGAGTTCAATCAAGTACCAGGACTAGCACAAAACAAAACAAACACCAAAAAAAAAAAACAAAAACAAACAAACAGCTCTACAGCTCTCTGTGTGACTTACTTCCTCTGTCTTGTCATGTGATGTCTCTGCCATGACAGGAGAAAGAAAGAACCCCTCATCAAATGCAGAGCAGATATATATGGACTTTCCAGCCTCTGGCACTATGTGCTAAATAATCTTCAGCTCTTCATGAATTATCCAGTGTGTGGTATCCTATTTATAGCAACAGTATATGGGCCTTACAAACACCCACTGCCATGCACATCTATCAGAAAATAACTGTCACTTCAATGTCATTTAAAAGATTGTACTGGGGGGCATTGAAGTCAAGGCCAAGACCAAGGGCATTGATCGGGAGGAATCAATGACAGCAATCTGTTGTTAACTAAAGCCCCCAGAGTCTATAATCAAGGTGGCTGTCACTCATAGGTAGGGACCGTTGGATAGGAACCTGAATTCTCAGCTACTAGCTTGTCATGAGATGACGGACAAGAAATAATTGGTCTTACTTCCCTAAGCCTCACTTTCTCCCATCTATAAATGTCTAACAGAATGTGGGTGTTACAGTTTGAAATGGTCCCTAAAGGCCCATGTAGTTATTAAAGACTTGGCTCTTCTTCCATAGCACCATTTGGAGGTGGCAGAACCTTTAAGAGCTGGAATTTACTGGGAGGAAGTTGGGTTGTTGCAAGGCATGTCCTGCAGGAGATACTGGAATCTTGGTCTCTTTCTTTCATGCCCTAGCCATGAGATACAGGAGCTCTTGGCTATGATGCTTCCTGTCACCATAATCCCAAAACACAATGGCGCTGGCCAATCCTGGACTGAAACCTCTCACGCTGTAAAAGCCCCAAAGAAATGTTTCCTCTAGAAACTCAAATTTCTCAAGTTATTTTGTCATAGATACTGGAAACACACCAACACAATGGGTCTCCACGCATAAAAGTCCAACAAGCAACTAAAACCAACGTAAAACCACAGCAGGAAGCTAAAAGATTAAATAGGTGGGTTTCTTTTTTAAGTTTTGTTTCAGTTACAAGCATGAAAATGCTGTGCCTCTGGGTACACATCACAGTGGGCAAAGACGGCACATCAGAGAAGGAAACAGAAAATAACCCATATGAAGGATTTTGTTTCAGTGGAAGTCATCCAGGTATGTACTAAACAATGGCGCCAAATATGCTTTTGTACATCGCTGCTGTCTAAAAGCCACAGAAGATAATCTCTACACTCCTTTTAAGCTCAGTTTTATAAGCCATTTAAAGATAGTAAAAATTGAAAATAAAAATCTGGTCTTATGTTAGCAAGACTCCATAGTTATTCCTGATTTTGTGTGTGTGTGTCAGTTGTGGGGCTTGAACTTAGGCCCTGGGTGCTGTCCCTGAGCTCTTTTTGCTCAAGGCCAGAGCTCTACCACTCTGAACCACAGCTCCACTTCCCGTTTTTTGAGTAATTAATTGGAAATAAAATATCTCACAAGGACTTTTCTGCCCAGGCTGGCTTCAAACTGCAATTGTCAGATCTCAGCCTCCTCCAATCTGCTTTTCCTAGAAGAAAATGCAGCCTAATGAAGATCTTCTTGTGACATTTTTAGGTGTGAGACTGTAAGATGCACAGGAGTTCATCACCAAGCTCCTGGCTAAGGCCTTGTCCTTAGCAATGGAGCAGATGTGATCATGGGCTGCTTTCCACTTTGCACTTTTTCACGTGGGAAATAGTCACCCTGGGATCCTTTTGTCTCCCTCTAAGGTGCTCTGGAGTGTGACCAAATGAACCATCCAGACAGACTGCAGGTAACAACACACACACACACACACACATACACACATCGTGCACTGGGCATGGTTAACACATACATCTTTATCACCTAGTGTCATGGTGGTGGAGACCAGGAGACACAGATCAGTGAGTAGTGCCATAGATTGTGGCTGGTCCTCCGGAAACATGATAATCAGTGCTGACAAAGCAGCAGAAATAGCTCAACTTAGCACCTTCCTGCATCCCTAGAGGCCTGCCAACCCCACCCAAAGTAACGGAACTGTGATTCTTCATTGAGAGAAGACACAGTAATTCTCCTAACCTAACGATGATCTCCCACAATGTACTTTGATGTTGAGCCTGTTCTCCTTCAGGAGAGAGAGGAAAGAGAGAGAGAGGAGAGAGGAGAAGGAGGAGAGAAAGGAGAGCAGAAAGAGCAGAGAGAGAAGAGAGAAGGGAGAGAGGACAGAGGAGAGAGGAGAGAAGGAGGAGGGAGAAAGGAGGGAGGGAGAGATTGAGGGAAGCAGGGAGAGAGGAAGAGAGGGGGGCAAGGAGAGGAGGAGAGAGACAGAGACAGAAAGAATGCTGGGGGTTAAACTCCGGACCTGGGCACTATCCCTTAGCTTTTTCCACTCAAGGTTAGCCCTTTACCACTTGAGCCATAGCTCTACTTCTAGCTTTTTAGTAGTTAAGTGGAGATGAGTCTCACCAACTTTTCTGCCCAGGCCAGCTTTGCACCCTGATCCTCAGATTTCATTCACTCCCTTTGGACAGAGGTTTTATCTTCAGTTTCTGCAGGGGGCAGGCTGTGTATGTGTAAGCTACCAAATATGCCTTCAGAACAAACAAGAAACTCACGGTGGAAATGGTCGTTACTTTTAGCCATCAGAATGTCCTGGGCTAGCTGCCAAGAACTGCTGGCTGCTACACTGCCTCAGGCACTTCCTCGATGGGCCACCTCCAGCAAGTCCCTTTCCATCTCTGAGCCTCAGTTTCCCCTTCTCTCCTTCAAGCTGCAGGAGACTAGATTCTCTCTCACCTTGGCTCCCACTCCAGAATCCTATTAATTTATCAAACTTTTTGGACTGAGAAACAAATGTGTCTTTCTGTGCAACTAATTGGATGTACAGATAAAATCGTATTAACTTATAAATCAGAGTGTCCCTTCTAATTACATCTTAAGCAACATCAAAATGAAGCTTCCCTAAAGCTAGCAATGGAGTTCATCAACAACCACAGATTGCATTACAATGCTCTTTTCTGTGTGGGCGACCTGGTAGCTCTGGGGCCAGGTTAAATCCAATAGGTTTTGATCCCAATGTGGGCATCATTTTGCTTTTAGGGTTCAAGGGCAATGATCACTTATTCTGGTTCCCATGGAATTAGCTTTTAGCTTTAAATACGTTTTACTTAGTCATTCAGAAATGTCTATGTATACTTGTTTTATGCCAGGCACGGCCTGTGGATGCAACTTTCAATAAGACCAGATGTAGAGAGGCAAACTGTCAGGCAGAGAGGAGCGGAGAACAGGAACACCCCCAGTTTAACCGGAAAAACACATAACAAAGACGTCTAACCCAGCTCTGCAGAAATTTCACAAAGATGCAAAGTATGGACTGAGACCTTAACAGGTAAAAGGCATCCAAGCCATAGAAGCATGGACTTAAATCATGACAGCAATTCCCAAGTGGTAGATGAACAAAAGCAACTATGTGGAAGTAACTGAACCAACTAATCATTGTCCCAAAGATCAAATGATCCCACTGTTCTTGCTGACAATCAGTGCAATGGGGGTTTCGTTGAAATATAAACAGCGTTCTAAAGTATAAGGCAGGGGAAAGGATTTGTATCAATGCAACTGAAGGTTGAAAAAGGGGCAGATTTGGGTTCTAAGTTTTAGAATCTGGGTGACTCAAAGTAAGTTTGATTGGCCTCCTAGATGTCAGTCTTCTCCGCAGGTGAATGGAGCCGGCACTTAGCAAATGTTTAACAACAGGGTAACAGCACAGCTAGGGGTGTGGCAGACCTGTGCCTGGCACTTCAGCCACTCATAAAGGTAAAGCTTCGCAAGAGACAGGGGCAGCTCATTCTTGTGACTTCCTCCAAAACAGAGGTGGGCTTCTACCCTTCCTTGTCCACATTTAAGAGTCCAGGTGCTAACCATCAACTGTGTCTATTCATTTTCTACTTCTCCACTGACAGACAGCCAGGCCAAAAAGGGGGTGGGGGAGGGGAATCCAATATATTAAAGATGAGGACAGGCAAATATCAATAATCTCTTAGTTTGTATTTTATTCCCAAATGACCAACTGTGGTTCTTTAAAATACATGCAGCAGAAAGCTGCTTGTCACAGCCACCTAACGGCTCAACTACCTTCCTGGAATAAGAGGTCAAGGGTTAAAAGAACGACAGATTCCAAAGATAAAATTTGGATCTGAAAGGGAAAAGATGACAAAACTGTTTGTCAGACAAGATGTCTGGCACCTTTGGCGACTTTTCAATGAGACAGAAAGGAAGAGATGTTGAGGTCACCTAGAAAACAATTTAAGTGGGCCAGAAAGAGAAGGCGTGTACCATGGCTCCTTCCACCTGCAGAGTGAGATAACAGTCCCTCCAGAGGGTGCCACTGCATCATGGTGAAGGTGGCTTTCTTACAAGACAGACAGAGCTACTCAACAGAAAGATGGCTGGGCACTTTGGACACAGTGGCACACTGGGCTGGCTTGTGGTATTATTGTTTGGGGCTGCCTATTAGTACAAAAAAAAAAAAAACTTGAAGACGCATTTGATGTTTCCTAAAATGCTTCCTGTCTTGGTAAAAGAAAGAAAAGAAAACAAACATAACACCAATGTTTGCAAATGGCTTCTCAAGGAGTTTTCAAATATGTGGTATATCCTTGGTTTAGGGCAACATACAAGAGACTCAGCTACTTTTTTTTCTGTGTTTATTTTTCTGGTAGCTGAAGGGGCTTGTAGTGTTCCTCTTGAAGCTCTCTGGGAGGAATTCACAGTGTTGAGAATCTAAAAACTATGCAATGACTTGGGTAAATGATAACATGCAGATGCTGGCTTGAAGCATGGACTAAAAAAAAAAAAAAAAACAGGTATAGGCTTGGAGCTCTCTGTCCTAAGGCTTCTATTTAGTAAACCTCTAGTGGGGAAGGGAGAGTAGGAACCTATTTACCTTTGACAACGAGGGTCACATGATCTGGATGCCCAGCCACATCTGGTGGCTACTAGCCCGATGGATGGAAAAAGCTGTCTAGAGACTCCCAGGGGACAGGTCACAGTTCCAGCAAAGGGAATTGTGGGAAAAATCATCTTAGTTTCTCCAGTCATTTCTCATTTCCCTCCACGTGGTCAAGTGCAGAAGGGCTTGGGAAAAGTTCTCTGAGAATCTTTTCGGTTCTACTAGTATAGATGGATGTTTATGAAGAGGAAGTTTGCAAGCTCTGGAGTCATTTAACCTGGGCTCCAGTGCCTGCCACAGCTGCTTCCTAGCTGCTGGACCCCAGATAATCATGTCCTTCTGGTGGGACTCATTATGTGTGTCTTTAAGTTCCAATCTGCTCAACTGTGAGATGCAGAGGATGCTAACAGTGCCTATGGCACAGAATCAGTGTCTGTATTAAGTAGGAAAATAGTGTATAAGGAATGTCCAGCACAACACTCTGCTGAGTGCTCCGGACCTGTTCGCTGTACCATCCGGAGCAAGGTCAACCCAAGGAGCCAGCTGCCATCCCTTGGAGCGACTGTGATTAATGGGGATCATGGAAAGGTAACACTGGCTGAGTTGTTTTCTTTGGGCAGGAGCTTGTCCTTATCAAGAGAAATTCACAAGAAATGTTCTTCTCTGAAGATAAGATAGAGGAGGGAGACATTGCACTAGCTACCTCTCTTGGGAAAAAGTTAAGGAACATATCTAGAAAAGGGTTTTATACCAACTAGGTTGAGGGTCAGCTTGCTTTACAGTCGCCTCAGGGATTTGTCAAGTTAGCAACTTCTCTTCCAGGTTCTAGACTCCCAAGGAGTGGGCCCAGCAATTTGCATGTCTCAGAAGTAACCCATGAGATCCCTCTAGAAACAAGGTTTAGAGAATCCCTGGCAACTATGGTTAGAGAAATAATCCGGGGCCACCAATTCTCCTGCCTCTGTGGGGAAGTTAGCTAGTGGGACCCCAAGGCAAATGCATTTGTGTATCTGTGCACTTACGAATCTAAACTTAAGCCCTTGTCATCTCCAAATGCAGCTACATGCCAAACAGATGTGCAAAAATCCTGCATAATTCATACTTCCCCAAAGAAGAATTCGGATTATGTCAACTTCCTTAGGATAGCAGCATGGTTTATGAAACTTGAATACAAAAAGTGTGTGCCTCCAGCTTTTTCCGCCTCCTCTGGTCCCTCTCATCCTCCCCCATCCTCCTCTACCCCCTTTCCTATTCCTTTCCCTTTTGGCTCTCCTCCACTCTTCTCTTTCTTTTTTTTCCTCCCCTTTTCTTTCCCTCCATTTCTCTACCCACTTATTCTTTGCCCTTTCTATCCCATAGCTCATTTCTCTTTCCCTTTCCCTCCTCCAGCCTATTTTATTTCTTCTCCAGGCCATATTCTTATGTCTGTCTCTTTCTGACTGCCCTTTCCTCTGTTTGACTCCTGGCTCCCCTTCCAACACAAAGCTGC